GCTACATTCAAACTAATGTAAAACCAAATAAACAGTTAGAAATTGAGGTCAGATAAATAGGTTTCAACGAGAAATAAGATAGCCAAGAGAGGACTGTAATCTGGCTGCCAAGCTGCAGTAAGACATGTTGGAAGGCGGAGTTGGAACACAAGAGGAAGTGCCTCAATGCAGTCAAGAAGTTAGGAAAAGGGCAATAAATACTCACTGGAGAAGTGAAAGTCTGCAGACTTATATCACCTAGCTAATCATCCTGCATGCAAATATCTACTTAGTGTTTAGTCCACACAATTCTCCATGGCATCAAAAGATACTGAAGTTCTATGTATCTTTAAGAAATACAGCCTCAGGGATAAATGATAAACAATGGTGGGCAGCGATCCAAAGTCTAGATGTTAATGGATAAAACAGACTAGTTTCTCCCCCATGAGTAAATCCTCTTAGTCATTTTCTCTTATCTTTTAAGATACACATGTTTTCATTAATAGCACTTATAAAAGTATTACCCTATTCATATTTAATAAATTAATTTAGCAATTACAAACTATTTACATATTCTACCTCCCTTAGCATATTTATCTTTTCCGTATAATTTGTCATCTACAATGTTACATATTTATTTGTGAATTTTCTTATTATTGTCTTTTTCACTAGAATTTAAGCTCCAATTTGGTAGAGATTTTTCGTTTTAATGTTATCGTTATAGGCAACACACGGAGCAGGAGACAAATAAATATGTGTTGAGTGAAATGAATACATATCTGTTGAACAGCTCAAGAGTGACTAAACATATTTATTTACGGATTATTATTTAACATTTTTCTTCTACTCTAGATGGCTATCTTTGTAACAATAGGGAGTGTTATAGTTCTGTTTTGCTTACCACTGCTTAATTAGAGCATATAAAAGACTTAAAAACATTACAGATACTTGTTGAATGAATGAGTAAATGCTGGAAAATCTGACGTGTTTGTTCACTGCTGTTAGGACCAAAAGAAGCTGATATAGTAATTCAATATTATGAGATCGTGGATTCAAGAGTAATTCTTCAGAACCTAGGGGACAAACTGTGATGCACATTTGGAAAGATTATTTTCCGCCACTCAACATTTCAGGCATAGAACAGTTTTGTGATATGATAGTTTAGAGGTAAAGTTTTCTGACATTGTGTATGTGTGTGTGTGTGTGTGTGTGTGTATTATATATATATAATATATATAATATATATATATATATATATAATATATATATTATATATATAATATATATATTATATATATAATATATATATTATATATATTATATTTTTATATATATTACATATATATAATATATATATAATATATATATTAGTTGATACTATTAAAAGAAACAGTGGTGGGAGATTCTAAAAGTCATCCAGAGTGGAGGTTCATAAACCAACTTTCTCCCTGTAACAGATAAACTCTTAAGGACTTCAAAACACATTCCTGGAAAACATTTTTAGTTGAAGACCAGGAGAGGTTATTTTCCTTCCGTTAAACATTATCAGGTAAAAACAGTTGCAACTCTTAGAATCTAGAGGATACTGAGAGTTACCTACAAATGGGCTCTGATTAAGGAGTTTCTGTAAAAGATTTTTAAAAGTATAACAACTTAAAATTCATAAAAATTTGGAGGTGTAAGGAAGAACTTCCAGTAAAAATACACAAAAAGCAACTTACCACAGGGAATTCTCTTACTACCAATTTAAAAGGACATTTCCATGAATTTCCATGCAGTATTTCTGATATTTACCTAAGGTGACTACATTAATGTCTTTTATTGCTGGCAAACCTTCAATAGCACAAACCAAACACATTTATTTTGATATATATCCCCAAATATAAGACTTTTCAGTAGTCAAATGAAAAGCCAATAAGAAAAACAATAATTAATAATAGCTAACATACACCATGCCTTATTTTGTGTCAGGAAATTAAGATGAATTACATCAGTGAGTAACACAGCAATTCCTAACTTTACAAAGATGGAGACCGAGACTCAGAGGATTTAACATTTTAGTTGTAAATACAACTAAAAGAAATTAAAGCTAGGCTCCTGAAGGAAGAAGACTGTAGACTCAGGATCTTAAGAACATCATTATATTACTAAGGATGGCAAATTTGTATATAAAATTTGCCACAGCTCTTGAACTTTGGGACCTACAACTAGATAACAAGCAAGTTAATTTTAGGACACATAAATAGAGAAGTAGGGCCTGAGAGAGTAAGCTGAGGCAGTTAGGCCAGAGCACAGGCTTTTGGACTGACACAGGCACAGAAAGACAAACATCACATGTTCTCACAATGTGCTTATTTCACATTGCATGCCTGTATCAAAACATCTCATTTACCCCACAAATACATACACCCACTATGTGCAAAAATACTTAAATAATTAAAATATTTTTTAAAAAGTCTCTTCTCAGAGAACCCATTCAAAACTGTGAAATCTATTTCAAAATGGAAATTTAGGTTCACGGGTATATTGGAACATCATTTGAACGTGGTTTTCTTTGAAATTATTTTTATTTTTATGCATGATATGCTCATTTGTTATTGTCATCAATTGACACTTTTGAAGCATACATCTTTTTACCAGTAGTCTATCAATCTTTCTACTGATAAATCACTTTTTGTTATCTTTTTTTTTAAGATGTAGCTGAATAATCTATTTATTTGTAAGAAATTGTTATCTTATTGAAAAATTAAATTCACTTCTCTGCCACACAAAGATTTATTTAAAATAGTTCTTGTTTGAAATACTTTTATTCAGAGCTCATATTTCTTTAAAGAATTTTTCACTGCGTTAAATCATAGTCTAATGTATTTTAGGTACCTCGGGGCTAGAGTACATCAAAGTAAATGTGCAGTGAAATTTGAGGTCATCTTTCTTAGGACATTAAAAGAAAGGAGAATATAGTTTGAAATGTAGTTTCTTATTGGTTAAAAAAGATTCAGAAAAGTTATATCTCAAAATGAATAATTTATTAAGCAGGTATGTTACACCTAATTATTAGAAAGCAAGGCAAATTATATAAGAACAATAAGAGAGACCATTTCTAACTTGTATATAAATAAAACATTTGAAAAATAGATATATTTAATTTCGTGGATAAGTACTGTGATAATAAATATATTGTCTTTTGTTATTTTGAATTCATGGATTCTTGCTAAAAAGTTATATTCAAAAATCATGTACCTGAATTTCCCTCTGTTGCTTTCTCTGTTGCTTTCTGTCTCTTTCTTTTTTGTCTTGACCGACTTCTCTCTCTTTCTCTTTCTCTTTCTGTCTCTCTCTCTCTCTCTCTCTCTCTCTCTCTCTCTCACACACACACACACACACACACACACCCCACATATATATACATACAGGCACACACACATACATATATCTCAACATATATACATCTTTAGTGAGTTTCAACATGGAGTGGAGCTAATATTTGGGTGGAGAAATAAGATTTTTGTATCTATCTATTTAAAAAAAAAAAAAAAAACTCTAAATTTTTCCACATAATGGCTGGTGATATTTTTGGTAGCATAACCAAACTGTATTATAGTAACACCTGCTTATTGACACCAGGATCCTTGCCTAATTCATGGCTTTATTCTTAGGTTTATCAGAATAATTGCCTTATAGATAGCTAATAAGTAATTATTAAGTAAATACTCAAGTGCTTAAAAAATTTAAATACTTACAAGAGAATAGTTTTAAATGTATTTAAATACTTTTTTATAATTATAGTCACTAAATGGGAGTTTTTTGGTTTGTTATATATTGCATTTACTAATTTATAATATTATTTGAATCAAATAGAAGACCTGAGAGTATATTATAAAATCTGAAAGTTAAACGATGAGAAAAATTTTTCTTACATTTATAACTTATTGCATAACATTCACATTGCATTTTTTTTTAAATAAAGCATTTCTGTGTGATTGTTAGAAAATAAGGAAAAGGTAGAAAAATTAAAAATCGGTTAACTCTGGTGTTTTCATGTATTATTATGATAAACTATTCAGAAAAAAATGCTCTATGTGCAATGTATTATTCATAGTGCAGACTGTAAGCAAATATTGAACAATTATTTTTATAAATATAATTACTCATCTAAAATTCAATTCTTTGCTTTTTGTTCATTTAAAAGCTATGTACTTGTGTCTTCTTTGTTTTCTATTGTGTAAGTATCTACAAACAATTAATGACCTCCTCTTTCAGCTCCTCAGCTTATTCATCTTTCATGTAGTTGTACCAAATCTTGATCTTGGAAAATGTATCAACTTTATACATTAAATATTATTTGTCGTTTATATATAACACAACATATTCTATTTGCATATAATGTATAATACACTATATTCTATTTATATATCATATAAATAATATAATAATGGGTTTTTACACTTTTGAATATTTTCACATAAAGCAGAATCATACTGGCTAAAGTAATCTACAAATCGACAGCAGAGGGCACCCATTTCCTGCTTTGGAGAAAAACCGAAATACTTCCCCATAAATATTTTTCCATAAATGTGCATTGCTTTGTCAGTTTATTTAGAAAAGAAAGAAAGGACGTTTTCTTTTTCCCCAAAACAAATTAAGAAAATAAAACAGAACTGAGAAATACTTGTGATGGAATCGGTTATAAAAAGAAATCAAACTCTAGTAAGTTATAAAACAGTGAACAATTACTAAAGAAAATACATGTACAAATCTGTTGATCTATTTATTTTCATTATCATCATCTGTAATTTACCTACCATTTTTATCTGTATTTGTATCTATGTACCATAAACAGTTACTTATGCTTATTGTTGTAAATCCTTACCTATGAGGTATTATTATTATTATTGATAACAATCTTTGGAATTTTGTAGAACAACTACAAAGAAATGATCTGCTTTCATTTAAGTAATTATATTCATCTACTGTGCATAGTTAAATCTGTGTATGCGAATGAGTGTATGTGTGTGAGACAGAGACATAGATTGAGAGAGAGACAGGAAGAAAGAGTGGATTTTGGAGTTGTAAAGCATTTTGATGTAAATGAATTATTAGACTCCTCTTTAAGCACATTAAAGAGAAAAGAATAGAGCCTTTAATGCAAAATAGACAATTTTCAGTAAATCACTAAAGTCAAGATTTTGAAATTAATATGAAATTCAATAAATTTTTTTTGAATTCAGCTTAGCTTGAACTTTCTTTAATTTATGTTGTATTTTATTTTATTTTTATTTATCTAATAATGAACAGGAGGGAATATTATTGATTTCATGGCCAGAGGCTTATATCACATGAATCAGATCAGTCTCTTTGGCGTTTGCCCTGCTATCTTATTAGAATAAATTTTTCCTTAATAGGTGAGCATGGAGAATCTTATTTTAATAAATATTTAATGAAAAAAGATGTTTTATCTATTCATTAGACAAGTTAGTAATATATGTTCACTAAAAGAAAATGAATAAGAATATTTAATATTCTTTGTTTACAACAAATCACATGATAGAATGTGTTAACATGTAAGTTGTGACCTTCACACTTTGCCAGGTTTAGAAACAATGAGTATCTGGCCCTCTCATATTCTATTCTTTACTTGTTAATTTAATTTCAGCTACATAAATTAAATTCACCTTTATTGATAGTCATATATAATCTGTAATTAAGAATATAAATATTTTAAGAGCATTTTTTCTTAAAGTTAAAAAATGTAAGGTTAGAAATACAAAAGTGAGTATTGTAAATAATATATTTAATCTCTAATATGTTGAACTTTTAAGGAATGAATTAATATAAAGCTGTTTAGAGAGCACCCGTGATTCGTTTTCTTGATGATATAATTTTAAATCTGGAAAATACCCATTCGATTCAGTTCAATGAAAATAATAAATGTGTAAAATATACACAGATTTCAACAGAAATTGAAAGTTAAATATTTAGTTAATGTTGTATATCAAAATTATCTTTCACTTATTCCCACTAATTTATTGGTACATTAAACATTTCAGATTTTCAAATTAGTATTTAATAAAATCTGTAAGATAGAATAAGTGCCTTCTATTTATAATTTATGATTATAGCAAAGCAGTTATAATTTCATTTGCTTAAAATTAAAATATTGATGATTAAATGACTGAACAGTTTCCAAACAGGCTTTTTGACACAAACATCTGAAACATTCACTTGTGAAAACTTTTTAAAGATTTAAATAAGTTAAGTATTTAGTATTTGAATTTTTTAATTTCGCAATTAGATATGAGTTAATAAAATGGAAGGAAATAATTTATGTTATTAAAATATGTAATTATTTTAAAGATGTTGTTGGAAATAAAGCACATATTTTGAGCTCAAGTTGCTACTCTTAGAGGTAGGTATTATGCAGTGAATGGCGAAGAACTTAATGTATCCTGAATGAAAATTAACAATATCACATTAGTCCTACTGCTCACAAAACACTTTTGACATATCTATAGTTATGAAACATACTAAACCCTTTTTAAAATTCTGTGAAAAATATATTATTATTTGTCATAAATAAACAACAGTGAGAAGCAAGACATGAACCAGTTTTGTGAAGATTTTTTTTCACCATTACAGTCTTATCAAATAGAAAAATTGTTTTTTGGACACTAGAATTGAGACATAAATTTATACATCTTTTTAGGAAGAATATGTGCTTGATACTAGTAAGCAAAAAAGACGCAAGCACAACTAGGATTGTATTTAACAATGTTAAACAGTTAACACCTATCTGTATATTTCACTATGTATTTTCCATAGAACTATACATTTCTAAGTACCTTTCATTATGACTAATTATTATCTGTCTTCACATCTTTGAAACTATTCTTTAAAATTTATTATATTCAACCTTCTTGAATAGTGCCATAGGCTTAGCAATAAAAGTATGTTTAGTAGGAATAGTAATGTTGATGAAGTAATGGCATTCTTTTTCTTTTTTTTTCCCCAGACCCCAGTGTGTGATGCTCCTCTCCCTGTGTCCATGTGTTCTCATTCTTCAACACCCACCTATGAGTGAGATATTATCCTTTTCCTTCTCTGATTTGTCTTTCGTTTTCTTTTTACCATCAAATTTGAAAGAAAGTTGATTTTAATCATATAAGTTTTGGCAACAGTTTTCTATGTAAAATGACAGCTGACTCAAATTGTCAGCAGTCTTACAAATCAATGCATTTAGCTACATGATTGATCCAGTTATTGCAATCAGTATAGATTTTGAACAAAACATCAGCTGTGCCACAATCTATTTGGCCCCAGAAACTGCATCATTTTTCTAAGTCTTACCTTTTAGAACGGGAGGTGTTGGACTGAATACAAATTCACAAAAAGTCATTTAATCAATAAAGCAGAAGGCAATGAATGACAAGTAAGCCTGTGTGGACAGAAGCAAGCCAACTGCTCTTTATGGTAGTAAATCTGAGACAAAGCATTCCAAGTTTTAAATAAAAACAATTGTGTTTTAGAATAAAGTAGCTTATTAGCTTATTCGGCTAAATAACCAAGTCCAATTAAAGATAGTCAAAATATTGTAAGAACTAATAATACAATGTGTTAGAAGAATAAGAGTAGATTTTTAACCTTATATTTAGCGCTTTGCTTTATCGCTCCCTTCTCATCAGCTTTTTCTGTTTCTTTTAATAGCTGAATCACAGAATTGCAACTTCAATCACATTCAATTTATATTTTTCTTTGGCTTCTCCATTCAATTAATATGTCATTAGATATTTTATTACTATCTCGACTACCAGCCACTAAAAGACAGTGTACTAGTGCTGTCAAACTGTATCTCATTTCATTTTCCTATGTTTATTCGATAGTTTATATAATTAGTTCTTGGTCTCAGATAAAAACATCACAGTATTCTCATCATGAGTACATAAAAAGCAAGGCCCTGAATTCAGGCCTACCTTCTTCCAAGATAATTTTTAAAATGACATAACACTGTGCCCTGAGAAATTCAAAACTACTTTTCTCTTCTGTCTGTCAGTTCTTCTCTATTTTTTCCACCTCCACTAACTTAATCCATTGTGTAATTTGTTTAAAAATTGTTTGCTATCTCTGATTTCTGTTAGCAGGTAATCCATCCTACTAAATATAATTGGAATAATCTTTCTATATCAAATCTGTGCTGAAAATAACTTTAAGAATTGCTTAGAATTAAGAATATTTAATAAAAATAAAATGTTATGGCTCACCCAAAAACTGAGTCAAACTTCCTTTAGGCAAACATATCACTTTTATTATTAGAATACAAATATTTTCAAAGTAATATTTCAGAATTAATGTGTAAATAAGTTATTTTCTTATAGGATGCTCAAATATATATTTTTTTCTGAATTGGATTTATACTATAACAAATACTTTTATAATGTCTTCAAGTGTGCAGTTCTTTATTATATGATATAAAACTGAGAGCAAAAGAGGATATGTAGTTTTTTAATCTGGCATTTGAAATCAACCACCAAAAAAAATCCCTACATTATTTATATTCCAAAGGAGAGTGATAAGAAGTCTTCCACTAAGAAAAAGGCTTGATATAGTTAGTTTGAAATAGCCTGATTTGGCTTTTATGGTTATAGAATAATAAGTATCAAAATGGTAAAAAACATGTAATAGCTCTCTGTTGCAGGAAGAAATAGAGAGCTATTTACCTTGTTTCCCTTAAGTCTTGATGTTTTAGATAGTATGGTCAAAATAATTTCATATATTATTGTGAATGATGAAAGTGAATAGTTTTTCTGTGAGTCTAAAAATATTATAAACTAGTTAAAATTATTGGGCACTTTCAATCTTTTACATCATTTGAGGCTGTACAAAATTGACTCTGACATGAATAATTCCAAAATTTGAATAAGTGGACTGTGACCTTCAAATTAGAGAAGAGTACCTACCAAATATCAGCACTGTCTATTCCAAATAGAATCCTCTTTGAAAAGTGTCTGAAATAGTTTCATAATCATAAGAGGGAAGATGACTTGCCTTTTAATTCATTTCTAAGCCCATCATTTATAATGTTGATGTGCTTTTTTTTTTTTTTTTT